CGTTAGAGTTCATAATTCTACCATTAGGAAAAGACTGAATAAGAATGGTTTTTGTGGAAGGGTAAGCAGGAGAAAGCCTCTTCTCTCCAAAAAGAACATTAAGCTGCCTGGCTTAGGTTTATAAAACTGCACATGAATAAAACACAAGACTTCTGGAACAATGTTCTCAAGGACAGAGCATATCACATTGGAGTTGTTTGGCTGTAATAGAAAACAAGGTTTGGTGAAAACCATATACTGTGTAACACCACAAGAACCTCATACCAACTGTCCAGCATGGTGGTGGAAGGGTGATGATTTTGACCTGCTTTGCAGCCGCAGAACCTGGATGCCACACAATCAGAGTCCACCGTGATTTCCTCTCTACTGTATACTGTACCAGTGTACTCTAGAGGAAAATGTGAGACCATCTGTCCAACAGCCAAAGCTTAGCTGAAAGTGGATCATGCAACAGGACATTGGCTCAAAATGTACCACTAAATCTATGATTGAAAAAGAAATGAATCATGGTTTTGAAATGGCCAAGTTAAAATCCAGATCTCAACCCCACTGAGAAGATGTGGTGGAACCTAAAGAGCTGTGCATAAACGAATGCCCTCACACCTCACCAAGCTGAAGCAGTTTTGTAAGGAGGATTGGGCTCCAGGTGTGTAGTCGGAAACCAGAATTCCAACAAGGAAGTCTTAACATTATTCATTCACTTTTTAATGGATCTTCCAAGAGCAAGCATATAGTTCTATTGTGTTCCCAGCAGGTATGGCTTTGCAGATTAGGATCAACTAAAAAAGAGAAAGATCTGGTCTTCTGAATTATTTGTTTGGTATAAGGCAGGCAGCCATGCATTGGTTAATAGACAGACTCAGTATTTACAGTATGATGTTGTGCCTGAAATATTTTTACAGTTTCATTTATCATTAGAGGACCTCTGGGACTTGTTTCTTCACTGGGTCTTAGTCAATGGAAATACACCTATTTTCCCTAGAAGCTGCATCTGTAAAGTGACACCAGATGAGTTCAGGGCCGTGCTATGCTAATCTCCACTGTGCTATACAAACCCAGAGGTGTATTTGTAGGGCAAAGTCACCATGACTCTACTGGGTTATTAATGTGTGTTATAGAAATTCAAGCTGTGTGTTGGTAGTCATTGTTAAGGGGCTTCTCAGAAATGCTAAAGAGGTTGGTAATGAAGATGAAGGCACACATGGGCTCTTTTGTGTGAACAGGAAGGTTTATTGCAGTGTGGTACTCAGTACAATAGCGCAGTGTCAGCAAGGCAGGGTTCCAATTACAGTGGCAGTCAGGGTAAGTCAATCTCCCGCATGGAAAAACATCAGAACCACACACAAACTGGGGACTAGAGTGGAACAGGGGAGACACAATCTTATCAGCTCAGCAGACGGTGTGAGGGCGGAAAGCCGCCTACTGTGAACGCCCCTGGAATCGTCCAAATCTGGATTTTCTAATGCTTTCTAGTGATGCTGTTACCGCTGCCAGCTTGGATACCTCAAAGCAAAGTTTTTTCTTACACAAACCTCCCTGATAAAACTGCTTTGGTCACCTGCTTTACATTTTTGAATGAATTAAGAAATCATATATTTAAAAACAACTTTTTTTTTTACTTTTTTGCTGTTCTACAAAAATTGGAAAGATGAGATTGTAGCTTTTCATGTTTGAGGTGTTGGAAAGGTGCTTTGTTTTCAATTCATTTTCTTCCAGCCTGCCTATCTATAAAACTGTAATCACTTCTCCTCAATCTCTCACCTTCCCTGTGTGATTTGGCAAATGTTTTTTGTAGTGTTTGTTTATTGCCAACAAGATCTGTTTAATGGATTGTGAAGGGCCTAAGACATAAAAATAACAAATTCCTTTGCATTCCAGCAAAAACAAAATACGAATAAAACATTTGAAATTGTAAGGTCTTGTAAGAGTAAGATGGTTGTATGTCTGGATCTGTTTGAAAGGCACAGTTGTCTTTAGCACCTGAATCAGATGTTTTTTTCTTTCTGTGCATATTGGTTACTAAAGAGGTTCCCCCAAGCTATAGAGCAACAGCAGTTTTTTTGTATGTTTTAAGGAAGAAACATCCTGTGCTTAATGTCTGTGAAAGTATACAAAAATAGAAAACAAAGAGCCTTCTGCTAATTTAGAATAGCTTCAGGGAATTTGGAAACCATTCAGCATTAAGGCCCACTCTAAATAAACTAACAAACACATCTGATGATCTTTTGATCTTTTCAACCATAAGAAATTACAACACAGAAGAAAGACAACCTGCAGGATTTTGGACTAGAGTCCAAAATCTAGAAGAGCACATTTCTCTAGTAGTTGGGAACTGGATTCTAGACCTTGAGATCTGACATCCTGCAGGTTTTGTATGTCTCTTTCAATGGTCAACAAGTTAAGATAAAGGATTGTATTGGTCCTGTTGAGCCTGAATACAATTTATAATAATAATAATTGCTTACACTTATATAGCGCTTTTCTGGAAACTCCACTCAAAGCGCTTTACTGGTAATGGGGACTCCCCTCCACCACCACCACCAATGTGCAGCCCCCCCTGGATGATGCGACATCAGTGGGGAGGAGAACAGAGTGATTAAGCTAATACATAGATGGGGATTATTAGGAGGCCATGATTGGTAAGGGCCAATGGGAAATTTGGCCAGGATGCCAGGGTGACACCCTACTTTATTTAATACTTCACTTCTCCCAGGTGAGTTACTCTTTATGAATTTAGGAGACACAAATAGTCTGGCTGAGTTCCAGATTCTGAGAGACAGGTGCTGGGAAAGTCTTCTCTAACCACTACATCCATACATTGATTTTATAACTGCTTTATCCAGTACTGTGTTGTGAGAGAGCCAGAGCCTACCCAGCAAGCTACTGTATGGGCACAAGGCAGGATTTTTCCCAGGAGTCAATTAATCCACCTCTTTGGAATGTGGGAGGAAACCAGAGCACTTGGAGGAAACCCACACAAACATGGAGAAATCATTCAAACCTCACACAGATAGCACCCCAGGACCAGAAATGAACCAAGGTCCCACCACTGCGAGGCAGCAATGTTAACCACTGCACCAAAATGCTGCCCCTATCCTATGTAGTGATACACAAATGTTATTTTCTCCACCCAGTACAAATGTTTGCCAGTAATGTGCAAAGAAGCTGTGCAGTGCAGTTATCACAATGTACATTATATATACTACAGATTTATCCTGTCACTTGTGTTTGTGTATTGCTTTCAGTGAGTTGACTACTTTAACAGTTGAGGACGTGGAGGTGTTGGGCCTCAGTGTGTTTGGAATTGCAGTAGAGAACAGTGATATTAATCTGTTTGTCTTTAGCATGGTTGTACTGGTAAGGTTTGTTCTAATGTGTATAAAAATAATGTTTAAATGTTTATACAGACGTTGTATAACGTACTTTAAACAGTACCTAACAAATGTGGTTACAGACACGAGGAGAACTCTCAACCCGTCTAGCCTGTTTGGTCATTTGGTGTTAGTACAAATGTGTTGATCTTTAATTGCATGAGACTTGCTTCATCCTTCTCAATCTGGTCCAGCTGCTCTATGATTTGTTTTAAAGAGGTTCTTGATCCTGTGTCTGCCGGTTTTCTTTCCAACAGGACCCTTAAGTTCTACACACTGGTGCCTCTAAGTGATCTGCTAGCTGTTTAGACATTTTTTTTTGCATTAAGACCTTGGTTTCAACCATTCTCTTGCCAGTATTTCCAATACCTTCAGCATGCAGACCTTTATGGTGTCTGTTCTGACCTTGGTGGTTCAGACATTCCTCCATTTCTAAACAGCTATTCATAGGTAATCAGTTCATGATAAACAGACACAGTTGGGAATGATTAGATACTCCTACGTTGTCTTAACACCAGCTGATCCCCTTTCACGTGACACATCCAAATAAGTGAAGCACCCTAATTTGTACAATGTTTATACCAATTAGAAATCCTGTTCAATGTTTAAGAACTTATAAGCAAAATTAAATACAGGCCTTAAATGGAAAAGTTAAATCAATTACCCTGTAACTAAGTTCAGCTGGAGTAAAAACCAGAAGACTGATCCTCCATGGTTAGGATTAAGAACAGCTGCTCTCGGGGATTCAGTAAGGTGCTAGAGTTGATCTCAGGATAAGACATGAAGAGGTCTCTGTATCTGCCATTTATGAGATTTCAGATCAGGTAACAAGGTGAAGATACTGTATACTGAAAGCGAGTTAATGTCCTTTTTTAATAAAATCAATATGGAATTGCCAAATGTTTATACCTCTGCAGTTAGTTAGTCAGCTTGGCTGTTCCAGCCTTCCTGCTAGCAAGGGAGAGATACAGACTTTGTGCTCTTTTGTCGTCTCCTTCTTCTGCACGATGCAAATCGACGGTGTTCACAGTGAAAGGGAATGAGAGGAAGGGCTGACACAGCTCTTCCCAAGCTAAGTGATAGCCAGCAGTCACAGGAGCCGATGTAGCAAGATGAAGAGATCCCTGATCGACTTCATATCCGCCTCTCCAGCAGTGTGTCAGACGACGGGATGCTGCTGTTCTTGGAGAATCCAGGTCATTAGAGAATTCAGGAACCCTGAACTTGTGATCTTCAGATTATAGGGAATTCCTACATCCTTAAAAAGGTAAGAAAGATTTTTTTTTTCTAATATAAGTCTTTTCTGTGTCCTTTGGGCAGCACTCACACAAATAGTCTCCAAAAAGTCTCCAGAGATGTGCACCAGAGCACAGATGAGTTTAGGAGGAGGGGGTGTTATTGGAAGAGTCCCCCATAGTCTGTATTAGACCCCTTCTGGCCACAGGGGTCCTGCAACAGCTCTCCCCCAGATGTAGTGATCACTTCCTCCTACAGAGACAAAGATTGCATTTGACATAATCAAGAGGGGATACAGGACTCCAACAATATGGAGGTGTGATTGGATTCCAGAGCTCTGCACTGCACGATCGTGGGTTCAAATCCTGGGTAGGATCCCACTGTGGCACCCAAGGTATTTTCAGTTTCCAGAAATTGATTATAAAAGAATTTCTGTGTCATCATGGTAAGTTAAATTTTGTTCTTGTTTAATGTGTATGGTAAAATAAAGGAATAGAAAATGCAGAATCATTAAAATAGGAATTTTATGCTTAAACTGCATTCATTTTGGCACATATTGTGCAAATACAGTAGGTGCAGTGATGTTTGAAGTTTTGGAGTTTTTCATGATGGAAAATTGTGAAACTTAATACAAATATCTGTTATGTCCTTAAGTAATGCCTTGTTTGCTGGGAAACTATAGAATACAGCAAGACAACAGGGATAGTTACCTCACTACCCTGGGGTAGTAAGGGTTAGACTATTAGATATTGAATACCTTAAGTGTAAAGCAAAGATTAGTTTATGCTTGACTTGCCTGGTCTCAATTTGTTCTCTTGTTTTTGCTCAACACCTTTAAGCCTAAGGCAAGCTTAAAGAAAAAATCAAGGAAAAACATAACTACAGATGTCTTTTACACAGCTGGACAGAAGTGTTTGGCATGAGTGGAATCCAGTGGATTCTACCTTGTGGAAGTCAATGAGATCAGCCAATGTGGCGTGTCTGTTCTGGTCCACACCCAGGAAGCTGTAGTAGTCCCCGGAGGCATCAATGAGGAAGTGCTTGAAGCCACTGTGTGTGCGGTAGGAAAGGGTGTAACCCCAGATCCGCTCACTAACACGCACCAGGAATGAGCCTTCAGGGGCGTTCATCAGCAGAGCCTCAGACTCCTGCCGAGAGATTATACCTGTAGAACAAGAGAGAGATTATTCTGCATAAAACAAGCAAATCGATTGCACCCAGACACGTATGGATGGAGAAAACAAGATACAGTGTAATTTTTAGGAACATGTAGGCACTGCAGAATAAATTGTTACATCTATTAAAAACACACCTTTTAGCCATGATTTAAAGAGTTAAAGGGGTTTCCTTTTTTCACGGTGAAATATACAAATATATATATTTTTGCTGGTATACTGATCCAAAATGTGGCACTTCCAGGTAGCTGCTAAAAAAACGTCCCTCTTTCATCTCCGGTGTGCCTCATGAAACTGAAAACGTGTTAAGTGGGTGGGATGTAAGCAAAGTTTTAAGTGAAGTCCAGGACAAACTACTTGTCACATATGACCTGCTCCATGAGTGTGTTTCCCAGTGTGTGCTCATCTCAAACCACTCTTAAACTGCAGTAGAACAGAGAAGTAGACAACCTTCCTTATTGTTATTGCCTTTCACTGGTATTTGTTCTAATATATGCATTTACAGGCAGCGATAAAACTGATCCTTTTTTTCCACTGACAGGCTGTAAATTTGCAGATGGTTGACAACCCTGCCTTTAAGTCAGGAAATGAAATGTTACCTCTATAAATATATGGATCTGTCTTCTATTTGTCATTCATTTACCATGCATTTGCTCTGCTTTGTGTTGGTCTCCCATGACTGTATCATAGGAATTTGTAACTAGAGAGGTTTGCTTTCCTGTGATTTCAATGTGCTTAACAGTGCATTTACTGCAGTGTGCAACTGTAGCAAAATCTTAACAGAAACAGGGAGTCGAAGGAGTCGACTGTTCTGCTAATTGGGCATGAGTTATAACTGCATCTGCAGAGTTCACTGCAGTTTTGACAGTCCACTGAATAAGGAATCACAGAAGTCAATTTGATGCATGATAAAGCACATGCAGAAGATTCAGATGAAGTCTGACCTATAGTACCCAATTTAATATATTGTTCAGGTAAAGATGTAATATTATAAAGACATTTTGATAGCAGTTTTCTTTCTATAAATAAAAGTACTGTAAGTCTAGCAAGGTTCAACTTGTTATGTTAAAACAGCCAGACACAAAGACAGATTATACCTGTAGACTCCCACATGAACGGCCATATTAAACCTACTTCCAAAGAACGAGATTACACCCACAGTAAAGGGAGAGATTAAACTTTGAGACAAAGAGATTGCACCTGGAGACAGTGATAAATCACACCTCTTGACACAAAGACGGTATCAGCAGAGGCTGTTCATACCTGCAGAGAGAAAAAAAGGAGGCCGAAAGAAGAGATTGTGCCTGCCGACAAGATTATGCACGGATACAGAAAGAGATCAAGAGAGGAACTCCATAGAGTGAGAGTTGGAGTTGAAATGGCAGTTCAAGTAGTCATAGTGGATTCCTTCAACAGTCACTGTCAAGTCTCCTGAAGCAGTACAACCGTGCGAAAGCGTGTACTGTATGTGTCAGCCCTGTCCATCTGGGCACCTTGTGACCATGTGGCCCTCATGACAGCCCCGTGTTTGGGTCCAGCAGGCGTCACTTAGGGCCTTAATCTGAACCACTGTCACTTAAACAGGAGCCACACACTGTGACCCCATTGTCGCATGGACAAAAGACAGCAGGACTCTTGGGAGTAATTAGCCCCAGGTGCTGTAAATTATTGAGCAGCTACTTCTCCCTCGCTGCAGACTCCTGCTCTGCCACACAGCTGCCCTCACTGCACTCTCATCTTCTGTGCCAGCACCTCTCCAGTTACACAGCGCAGCGATATTCCACACTCCTCTCACTAATCCCTCCTGATCCAAGGGCTGGAAACAGTGGTATTGGGTTGCTCAGGGAGCTTAGGTGTGTGTGGTGGGGAAGGGGAGGTGTTTAAGAAAGTTACGAATTAATCATTCGATTTATAGCAGCTAACTAAGTCCAGTATCTCATCCAGGCATGTTTTAAAAATTCCCAGTGACTTGTTCACTGTCTGTTTTTCTGACGCAATCAAAATGTATCCAATGACATCAGGATTTTCTTAATGCTGACTATCATGGATTAAAAAAAACCGTTGATATCAAGTCTCGTGATATTTTAATGTGGGATATATTTTTTTAATAAAACATTCATCTTTATGGCATACATATATTCTGTCAGCATTTTGATTCTTATCCCAGATTTCCTAGATATAGAAAATCATCAGCTAATTCCACATCTTCACTTGTTTTTTTTTTTAGGTCGTGCCCTCTTATTTGGAAGGCAGTGCAGCACAGTGGGCAAATCTCTGGAATTATACCTACTGGGTTTGAGACCCTGCTACAGACATTGCTATTGTATCTTGAGTGAGGTACTTTCCCCAGTTGGGCCAGTTCACCCACTGTATAACCGGGGGACAAACATTTCAGGGGTGATCCCTACAAAGGGCTGGACGTTATGTGCTCTCATATCTGCTTAACTTCACAGTAATCAGAAGCTCTGGCCTGTGGCTTGGACATGGAAATTACCTCCTGTACTTGCCTCCCATTTGACACTTAAAGTATCCATGCCTCCTAGAGGAACAGGTAAAACTTGTTCATGCTGAAAAGAAAAGAGACGCAAACGTTTCGGCTGTAGAGCCTTCTGTAGGTATGAGCCATCTTCAGGTTCTTCTTCTTCAAAGCTGTAACTGTAGCTGTCTGTTTCCTTTTCCTTTCAGCGTGGAATAAACCTTCACCTGTTCCTCTGCAGCCTATGCATGCTGATGCTGCTACCACCTTGACATTCCTCTTGAATGCATGAGTGTCATAGTATGCAGTGAGCTATGATTTCATCACTTCCCCTGATTCTCAAGAGTGCTCTTTCGTTACTAGCTGTTAAAGTTAAAGCTGCATTTGGGCTGTGTCGCTCAAACAATGGGAGGGGTGTCAGAGATGGAGGTACAAATCAGGTGTGAATCTCTATTTTCTACCCAAGCACCACCTGGAGCCTGTGAACGGATTTGTTTGATAGGTACTGCAGCCTCAGGTTGATTTGTTCTCCGCACAGTCATCCACAGACAAAATAATTAGATGAATTGTTGAAATTTGCTAATTACCAAAATTAATTCAATATAATGAGTAGAGAGATCTTCTGATTATTTAAAGCTGACATTGAAGAGATTATCTGGATAATTAATTATCTCCTCAAGTACAGTCAGCCAGACTGCCTTTCTGAGAATGAGGTTTCATTTCCGCGCAGGAGGCAACAGCCCGAACTGGACCAGCTGTACATGCTGAACATGTACCCAGGTGCTCAGGAAGATGGATAAGAGGGAGGCTGCTCTCACCATGGAACCAGGGGGCGATGGTGTTGCTGTTGCGTTCATATCCAGCTCGCCTGGGCCGCTGCTCCTCTCTGAACCAGCGCAGCACAGACTCGCGGGAGTTGGGCCGGGGGGGTCTTATCCATGGGGAGCTAAGAAGGCAGAAGAGCAAACACTGCAGTAAATACAGGCTAATGCTTAGTGATGGCCAGATGGGCAAATTCTCAGTGTTTAGGGTAACTAACTACACACTGGGTAAATATACATGGAGCACATACAGAAGCGGGACTATATCATCACGGGGCAAAAGTCAAACACCCTGAAGACAAATTCACAGTAGACTTTGAGAAGAGCAGACTGTGAAGAAACCTCTAGAGCAGATCATATGGGAGCCTGTGGAACCTTCTTATTAGAGAATGGGCTTTACTTTCTCATCGATAAAACCCACTCCAAGATGACCACACCTAAGAAGGTACAAACTGGACATTTAGGTGACCTCCCTGTAGAAGACAGGACTTTTTGGGGGGGTATCTCATATACTATAATATGGTATTTCTATGATCCTGCTGAGTGATCATTTTTGTGATTTGTTGCAGTTAAATTTTCTCTGTATTTGGGACCGTGGTTTATTGAATGTACAGAATTGTGTTCTATGCTGATAGTATTAACTGCACTTGGTCTGTCTGTATAGTATTAGAAGCCTGAACAGAGGGGTCTGTTCATGTCTGTCTGTGTCTGCCTGTCTGCACAGGGAGGTGATGTGTCCAGTCAAGTGCTTCTTGTGCATGATTATATGTGTGCTTGCATTAGGTAGTGGATACTTATGATTGTATGGTGAGATATCACAGGTTTTATTTGTTTTTCTGTTGAAGTGATATTAGTCGGCATCCATCTGTAATATTTAGAAATACCTGGGGTTGTTTGCCAAAGACTGTCTTTTCAGAAACTTGGTATGTGTCATCTCTGAGGCATGCGGTGCTGTAGTACCTGTTAGCTGGGGACTGCAGTGCTGTGCTGGTGCTGTGTCGGCGACTCTGTCTGCCCCTCCGGGTGTGAGAGGGTGGTGCCGCGGACGGGGCGGCCATGGCGCTGTGGGCGTGGCCAGTGTCAGAACTGCGTTCAGAAGGCGTGGCCTCGATGTTGGCGCTGTGCCGCCGGCCTTGTCCTGCACCATTTAGCTGGGTTTTCTGGAAAAGGCCGCTGAGGCCCGCCACCCGGCCCTTCTCGATGGCACGCAGAGACTGGCGCTTGTACTCGTCCCGTGCCCGCCGAGCCTTGTGCTTCATCTCCTCGTCCGCAGCCTTGGAGCGACGCACTACGAGGGGGCGTGAGAGAGATGGAGTTGGGCAGTAGGGTGCAAGAGAAGGGTAAGGGAGAAGACCGAGGTAGAGAGCCAGCCAGAGGAACGTGTGGAGTGGGGAGGGAGAGGAAACATGAAGATATCGAAGATGCGAAGAAAGGAGGAGCAGAGGAGAAAATGGGTGGGTTGGGAGAGGGGCAAGATGAGAAAAAGGCAAAAGAAAGGTAGGAGGAGAAGTTGAGTGTTTGAGAGACAGATAAGAGAAAGACAGAACAAAACCAGAAGAAAGGCTGGAATTACTGACATTGTTTTCATAATATACTTTTTGAAAGCGAGAAAGCGACAAACAGTGAAAAGCTGATGGAACACAAATGGTTCTTACGAACTCCTCCTCTACTCTTATCCTTTGATTGTTCATCCTTGCCCACTGTCACAAAGTCACTGTCATGAAGTTTCTTGTCTCTCCTCCCTTTCTGTGCCTATACTCACACTGCTCCTGCCATTCCTTGTCATCCCTCTCGCTCCCTCGCTCCTCCTGTTTGAGGGACATGTACAGCTCCCTCGCTCTCCTCTCCTCTGTGCGGCGTATTTCTTCTTCCCCGCGCTGCCTCTCTTCTTCTTCTCGCCTCTGCGGGAGAGACCATATGGACTCATTGCCCCCTTTGTCCTCTGCTGTGCACCCATCCTCCCACATCTGCTTTCCTTCCACTGCGTTCTTGTAATTCCACATGGTCTTGGTTAGGCGATCCACTAGGACGACTTGGGAAGCTATCGGTAAACCTTGTCTGCTGAGGGACCTTATGTCTCTGTCTAGTATGTCTAATGAAAAGTAGTTTTGAGTGAAATTGGGAAACTGATGTGAACTGTAACAGATATTAGGTTACGTGTTGTTCTTTCCTTGTACTGTTGGTTTGTTCAAGTGTTTTCAGAACATTTCAGACTCATGCATGCTTGTTTATTATAATGTGCCTTTTATGCTGGTTTTTGACAGTTGCAGTAATTTGTAAGACATCTGACTCTTTTGTACTGAAGTAGTTATTTACAAACAGCCAAGTTCTAAAAACACCTGAATCTACAATACGTGTTGTAACTGTGAAATGGATGCACTAACCTGCTTGACCTTGTCCACCTTATTTGGTTTTTAGGAGTTTAATGAAGGATTTTGCACAGCTGTTTCACAGCTTCTTTCCCAGGAAACCACATTTCTGCACTTCTTGTTCCAGACATCTGCCTCCCTTTACAATAAACAAGTTCCTATACTCGGTATTAAATATTTGTCCTCTTAATTTTAATTCCTTTTTCATCTTTTGGACATTATTTTGTTATGGACTGTAAGCAGTGTAATTAAGGTTTTTGAATATTTGAGTATCAGCCCCCTGGTATTCAAAGTGACTTGTTCTGCTGAACTCTTTCCATGGTAGCAATATCCTGTTCTTGAGTCAAAGTGATTCAGCTTTCTGAGTTTTGTAAAGCTCTGATCCAGCTGGCTGGTCAGTATAAAGTATTGCAGTACTTTATGCTGGCCAGCCAGCTGGAGCAGGCAGCTGAGAGAGCTGCTGACACCTGTAAATGAATTTAGCATACTCTACCATCTAAGGTGTTTACAAATCACAGTGTACTAGTGTGCTTGATCTCCAGGCCACAGGACAGACATTTTACTGACTCTTTCATGGTAGCTCAGTCTGTCAATTCTCTTTGTGATTTTTCTTTATTCAAATTATTTTTGTCCAACACACCATCACACAGACCTACTATCTGGGAACTTATTGAAAGATAAAATAAATCTGAAAATCAAAAGTCATTATCTTTTTTTGTGCTGCTTCTCTTCAGCATGGGGGAAAAAACATTTTTTTTAGTAATATGGCCCAAAATATTTTCATGATCATTTTTTTTTTCTTTTTGCGTTCTCTCCCATTTTGGGATTTGATAATTAATATTCAGGTTGTCTCAAATCTCTTACCAAAGAGTTTGTTGTAGTCTAATTGTTTGTAGATTGTTTATACACATCTTGGAAAGTGGTTGACATAGTCAAGCAACATAGCCATGTAGTCAAAGGAGACATCTTTTTTTAAAGGATCTGCTAATGTAGGTGCAGCATCCAAACAAGTTAGCCAGGTTGAATGGCCTCCTTTAATTTGTGATCTTAGTCTTTTTCGTCTGTTCCTTTTCAATCTTCAGTCTCACAGTACAGTATATACAGCAGAATCACAACAGCTCTTTCCAATAACACTGTAAGCTTATAGGTTCCTGTTGAGATATACTATAGGCATCATTGCTGAATGACAGGCTGATAAAACCCCATTTTGCTTGAAATCAACCCAGACCTGGTGGATCTCAGCCAGTTATGGACTATGCATAGGAACATTGACTCAAATCAATCTAGAGCCCAACCTGTACTCTGTGCAGAGGCTGGTCTGTCTGTAGCATTGAAGCACAATTAAATAATATGTGCAACATCCCTGCCTGACTCCTCTCTTCATTAACTTGAACACTGAAGGGTTCTATAAAGAGCAGAGGGACATTCTGAGTGTAAAAAATTAAATCAAAACGCTTGGCCAGTCATATATGCTGGTGCCGCTTGCTGCTTGGGCCAATGAAAAAAATCCATCAAGACATGTAAAAGACTATCAATCAATCTGATGGATAAAAATGAGTGAGAGGTACTATAGCCAGTTATTACATCTGGATCTTTTTGTTCATGTGAGCTAATGAAAATGGAAATGATATGGGGGTCAAAAGCTAGAGAATGGGGCTTTTTCTTCCCCTTGAACCTGACCTGTGTATTTATGGGGGAAAAGTGGATTAATTTTCTTTGTTATTGCTGTTTTAGAATGAATAGAATAGAAGATCCTTTTAACCAGCCTTGATGTGAGAGGCATCTGGATTACATTTTTCCTTCTTTTAAGTTTTCAACTGAAAGAATATTTTGAAAGACAGTTAAACTTTAATGACTCAGAGCTTTCCCACTGGCTGGCTGGATGTCGAGGGGTGAAGATAAACAAGATGTTTAATATTTGAAGAGCTTCTTAAGAAGGTCTCATTAAGAGGTCCTAAATCATTCAGGACTGACAGGCCTCTGAAGGCTTTATAGAAGCAGCCTGGAAATGAGCTCTCAATCACAGCCTTTGGCTAATCCCTTCCTCCCCATCAAGCCCCCAAATGCTTTGTAGAGCAATGCAGAGAGCACGCACACTCTTATCAGGGCATGCCATATATTTGCTTAAAGTCTAGCAGCTACGTTACCCCAAAATATGCAAACAGAACCCTGCCAGGTTACAATGAGCCTTTTCAAAACCCTGCTTAGCCTGTGAAATAAATATTGGCATTCTGCATGTGCATCTACTTTCAAGCCCTGCATGATGCATGAGGTTACACAAGCAGATGCTGCTGTGTTTGTATCTGCTTGAATTTTGTTCTTGATACTACAGTATGTACCATATACACATTGTCACCCAAAGTCTGGTTATCTGTACATGACAGAGTTCTTTAACATTAGGGACTGGTAAAGAGAAACTGTTGAAATGCAAACAATATCTGTACTTGGAGATGATTAGGTGAGCTCTATTGAGTGTACATAACTGTTCACAAGTTAATCACTTCTGAGGTGACTTGACAATATTCCAATGCACATTTACCTTTAGCTCCTCCTGAATCCGATCCTCTTCCATTTTTGCTGCTCTCCTGTCCTCCGTCTCCTCCCTCCATTTCTCCGCCACAAAGCGAGCCTTTTCCTTTGCCATTGCATCCCGAAACTTCTGTTCAATCTCGGCCTCTTTTGCTCGCCTGAGTTTGGAAGGATAGAGGTGAGAGAAAGAGACAAGCCACTTTTTAAACTTGTGTAGACTAGGGGTAGGTAGGTTTACAGCATTTCTAAACTCAATCTTTTCATAAAGAGACTTGGTATATAAAATTGAGTTTAACATTTTTCAAAAATAAACCTAGATAGACGGAATGGTATTTGATTTAATAACTTTATTAGTGGCGCATTTATCTTTAAAGAGGTTGGAAGGTCTTTACACCAGCTGTATTACTGCATCTAAACATACTTCACAAAAAACAGAGCGTGATGTCTTACATCTGATTCTAAGGTTACAATGATAGTGTCACAAGATTTCGCTGTGTTAGAAACAGAGTTGTAGATTTTTAGCAGTCTTTACTAGAACTTGTTTAGAAATTCCCAGCAGATTAAGCTTTGTTTCAGATTGGAAAGTGTTTCCTTTACTCTGCATTAAGTGTAAAAAAATGCTTCACACTAGTTTACTCATGGGGGGGATCAGAAAAAATAACAATCAGCTTTGAACAAACTGCATGCTTCTTTTCTTAACATGTCGCCATTCCAGTTTCTCCTGGTTGGAAATGGAGCATCTGGGCAATCAGTTTGTTTCTGAATCCGCTCATTTATGATTTTCCATCCACAGTTTCCAACAGAAGTCATGCCAGTAGGTTAGAAATTGCCTTTATCATATTTCAGCTTTTATGCAGATGTAGGAGACTTGACAGCTGAAGTATTTTGTCCAAATGAAAGCAAATGTTTGTTGTCATTTAGGTTACGTTCTTTGGTGTGTTCACAGGTGGTACTGCTTAACACACATGACTTTCTAATTTGATTAGGCAGTGTTATTAGCAGTTTAACACTTTCCAATTACAGGCAGGCAAATCCTTCAGCCACTGTTCCAAAAAAACAAAGTGCAAAAGCTGCATTTCATTGTCTTGTGTGCAGGTGTAAATTGGATTCAACCAGCTTGTTCAGCTTCATTATTGTTTCCAAAATAGACTTCAAAGCACTCCCACTGCTACTTTTAGGCAGCAACTGAGCTACCTTTTATTCCACGTTTTATAGCCGAAGCTTGGCTGCATAAGCTGGTTCAACTCTTCTATATTTGTGCCAACCTTAAAATAATTAGAAATCTCCATTAGTGGGTTGTCCACATGTTCTGAGCTTACTTAACTACCTTCATTCAATGCAAGATACCTTGTCAAGAACTGTATTGCCTTCCTTATGTGTTTGTATTTAATCTTCGTACAATGCTGGTAGAGAATAGCAGAAAATATCATTCTGTCATGAAATGTGCTGACCATATTACTGATTTCATAACGTTTAAAAAAGATATAGAGAAGCATAATACAAACATCTTTCTTGCTGTGAACATGTTTACTCTCGCATTTAAGTGATCCGATCTGGTTTAGAATGCTTGTAACCAATAAAGGTGACTTGACATGTTTTTATTTCAATGGTTGTGTTCATCTGCTGGAAATCCTTTGGCAATGTTTGAATCAGAAAATATTAGTCAGGGTTTTATGAAATGATCTGCAGAATTCAACTGGTACCCCATGTTCTTGTAAAATAGTTCTGTGCAGTTTGTGAACAATTCACTCCTTTTTAATGAAATCATCCTTTGTGAACTGGCACAGTCCTTGAACGATCTGTTCAACAAGAGAAGTTGAGTGACTATAATGTAGAGAGGTGAGACTTTGGAGTGCACGCGCACCACAGATGGAATAGATGCTACTGGATCTTCCTTTTCCAAAATGATCAATGAAGCTTTGTATGCGTCACCCCGAGTAAGAGGAAGGGCAAAATCTTTCTTAAATCTGGAGGTCATGAGTGAGGCTTAATATTACTTCAGATCAGCCCAAATATATTTACAATGTTCAATATCCTGGCTCTTGTTTCTTCTAACACCAAATGTAATTTTCTTTGGTCTGCTTTGTTAAATTTAGTGCCAGTGTGGATGTGCTGGTTAATTGTCAATGGATGTTTCTTTGTAGTGATGCTGTGCAATATGCAGCTCATGAGACAGACACATCTACTTGTAAATCATTTATAGTTTTGCCCCAGGGCATGAAAATTTGATTGCCAGTATTCTTAGGGAGTTAGTTAGGCTTCTTCTTGTGAGTTCTTGCTCACTTTTTAAATTTATCATTTAAAAAATAATTTATATTAATGTATTGTGTGCATGCAGCAATAATGCTGAGCTGAATCCCTTTGTATCTTGAACCTCTTGTTTTATCATTCTGCCTTAAAACTCCACCTTTTTCTTTCTGTCCTTCCTTCCAACAATCTCCTTTTTTCTCCTTTCTTCCACACTGCATCACCTCATCTTTCTTTTCCCCCGCTTCTGCTTCACCGTTACTTCTCGTCTCCATTTCCCTGTCTCTTTCAGTCTCAGCCCCCCTTCCTCTGCCAGTCCACTTTGGGCAGAACTGCTGTGTGTGGTGCAGTCTGTAGTCACACTGTAAACCTCTTTCTTGTCCCTGTCTTCCTAATGGAACATGACCCCCACTAGAAATGTACAACAATAAATAGGAACTTGGCCTTTAAAATACACTACTATAGAGTCTTTGACTGAATTGTAGCAGAGGACATTTTAGATGCATCTTTCACAGAATATGTGAGGGCTCTTTCTTTCGTTATTTGTTGATGCAACATCTGGTGCTGGTATAGTTGGGAATTTAATAGCTGCATAAAGGTTCTACACAATCCCTGTAAGCAATTTCCACTTTCAACACACATATTTTCCACTTGCATTTGCTTTCTTTTAATGGCTAGACTGCCTGTTTATTGAATAGAAATGTACGTTTGTCAATGGAAAGCCAATAAATAAATAAAGAAAATTAACTAGATTTCCCCTTGTGAGACACTTTACTGTAGTTACAAAAGAAAGTGATTGTTATAAATGGTTCATGTTTTTGCTTGGTGGATAATGATACAATTATAAATATACTTTGACATGCACTGTCACTATTTGGCTTTTCGTTAGCCTTTAGTTACAGACAATTACATCTGATTCCAATTGCCTGCTGGTCATGTTCTTTGCTCACCAGAGCTCTTTGGCCTCTTGCTGTGCCTGCCTTCTGGCTCGTTCTGCCATCAGCTCCTCCACAATCTCTTCATAAGGTTTGTCTCCCGGCGCCTCTCCCATCACCCACACCCACACATCTCCATCCTGGCCCAGCAGCCACTGCACGCCCTTATCACCACCTGCAGCACCTTGGCAGAGGAACACACTGTCAGGAGGGGGGCTGACATCCCAGTAGGAAAGAGGAAGATGGCAAACAATGCCACAGAAGTTCAAAAAGCAAAACACTTGAAAGAAAAATCAAAATGACAAATGCACTGCTCACTGCTTTACAAGGCCCTGCATGTGGATATTTGAAAACAACGATTGAACTGGACCATTTACCAGTTTTATACTCCTGCTTTGTTCTGATTGCTCTGATTGATTCTTATTTTAATGTTTCCTTTCCTTTATGGTTTTCCACTCACTGCTGTTTCTGAGTTTGTTATAATAAACATGGTTTCAGTATATAATAACAAGAACAATGATTTATTAATATATCATTTGGTTTTTGCATTTGCCTTTGTCCATTCATTTCAAGTTGTTAGTTTTAAATGTGTGATATGAAAACAAATGTCAGTTGATCAGACGAATAAACATGGGACAAAAAGGGAATTAAGACTAACGGAAAACAAAAGGACAATACCTAGTATCATGTACAGTAGGTCAGGGTTAAAGTGATACAGACAAGTTCAAAGTCAAGGGGCTTATTGCATCCTTGTTACTTTTTGTCTTACCACAGTCACGGTTCTACCGCACCTCTCGCGTACATTAATTAAACCCACTTTTAAAGAGCACAACTATTTGAGCTTACCCTCAATAGGTTGATGTATTGATGTCAAGTTTTTATTTTATTTGATACAACAGAAATACTAATGTTTCAGTAAACACTGCCATTACTCTCATCCTGGTGCACTATGGCACAGTGCCATAATGTGTAACAGAGAGGAAACTGTTTAGAAGAAAAGTTAAGGAAAAAAAAACATTTTCTCACAGCATTTCACAGACAGGGAAAAGAAAGTGCAATCCAGAAATATATTGAATTACTCATTTAGAAAACATGAAAAAGATTAACACCAAATTATAAGATGGGTTTAATGAAAATACTTTTTGTCATGCTTGGAGATGTGTTAATGTTATGGAGGGTAAAGTTATCAAGAAGGGGGATTTTGTTTTTGTTTTTTTTGTTGTCAATAAGTGAAGTCATTTATCTGATAACTTTTATTTTGGAACATGCTGATCTGTAGCTCTCTTCCATGGAGCAATCCCTGAAAGACAGCTGACCCTGATAATTAAGAAGAAATTGTGTAGAATACAGTTATCTTCTCTCACATCTTATATCACATGTCTATTGACCAGCATCATATCCCATATCTTGAACATTTTGGAAATCTTGAAGTACCAAATCCTTATTCATTATTATCCAATTTCCCTTATATCTGTAGACATGAAATGTTTGGAAATTAGTTAATTAAAATCTCTTGCTTATAAAGCAGAGAAAATATTAAAGATACTTTATTTAGAATTAAACGCAGAATAATAATAATGAATATTAATTCTGTTGAACCAAAACCTATGATGCAGTATCTTCTGGAACAGTATGTGTGTGAACGATAATCTAATTTGTTGGTCTGAGTTTTCAACTCAGCATTCATGCTCTACCCCATATAATATATTTTTATTGCTAGAAACACAGGAGCACCATAAGGTAGTGCAGCATACACAAACAACTTTGTCAGTGTTTGTGTATAACATTAAACACAAATGACTTTGTCAGCAGCTCATCTTGGTTTCATTGTTAAATTTGCTGATGACACCAATAACAGCTGGTCGACAGCTGACAACTACCAGCTGTTATTGGTCTGATAAAGAACTCCGAAGATGGGTATAGACAGGAAATATAAATACAAATGTAGCAGAAACAATTTTCTGCTACATAATGCAAAAGAACAAATAGTTATCGATTTTAAAACAAAGAAATAAGTGGCTATCAAGTTGGAAAATGTAGAGAAGGTGGACAAATATTGATATTCAGGCTCGATTATTAATTCGAGACACTCATAGTATGCCAATATCTACTCCATTTATAAAGGGCAGTACAGGTTATATTTTGTGTGTGTGTGTGTAGTAAAGACTCTTTAATATTGAATTTTATGTCATTGTACAGTTAAACATTCATACTGAATATAATAACATTCATAACATAACAGAAATTTGTTTTCATGGATGGTACTTTGGTTGATCTTTTTATAAATGGATGTAAAGTCGATAGAATTGTTAGTTCTCATTCTGCTAGGATAAGCTTTCACTGTACACTAAAAAGAATAAGCCAAACAGCTCATCCAATTGTGTGCCTCCACCTGGGGAATCCTATTCAACATTGGCTAGTGCCATAACCCAGGCTCAGATTTGAGATCACAGAGCTCAGCTTTACCAGCTCAGCCTCACTCAGGAACTTTTTAAATGTATTTTTGGAAGGGCAGATTCTCTTGAGTACAATGTCCTCGATCACTATTCTGGAGCATTAGTTTCTGCAAAATCTGGCCAAGAAGGAAGAGCCCCATCTACTGGAGTTCAAAACAGCTTACTGCAGCAAAATGGGTTTCCTCAGAGGTTTCCTATCCCAGTCCTGTCAAGGCCCAGCCTAGTTTAGCTGTGAAATCTGACAAGATCAGTCACAGGTGTACAGGATGCAAGAACTCTCATTATTATTAATTTTAGGAAATGTCAGCAACTTTTTTAGTACTCACTCTTTTTGGTCTTTGGCTGCCGCTCCTGGTTCTTCTCATGGCTCTCTCTTTCAGCCCATCGACGTACTTGCTCCTCTCTCATTTTGTAGAAGAGGATCTGCTTCTGTTCCTCATTGAGCTCAGCCAGCAGATCAGGCTCGATGTACATGTCCTGTAGGATCTGTTGCATCATCCTGGCTGCCTGTTTCTCCGACCCAAGCCAAGCCGAAACTGAAGTCAGTGAGACCCTGCACTACAACATGCCACTTTCTGAACCCAGGCACCTCCCCCTCTCCTATTCCAAATGAACAGAAGACTTTCCACTGGATCACCTCACCTTTGGAAAATCTGTAGACCCTTGCCTACACTCTCTAGCTGTTTGTTGTTTAACTGAACTTAACCTTCTCGTTCACTTAATTTTGTCATTCTTGGCATCCCCTCTGTAAGGATATTCTGACTTGGGAGCACACATTAGAGTGATAATATTACACTGTGAGTTTTTCCTCTCCATTTGTCACTTTTTACATTTAGAAGAGTAAATTTTCTTTGAACTCTTAATTCTCTTCTTGTTTCCTGCTTTAGAACCTCTCTTCTTTTTCTACCCACCCCAGTTTATTTTACTCTTCAGCATCTCCTTTCCTTTCCTCTGTGCTGTTGGTTTGCTCTCTCTATTTTACCATTGACTCAAGCTGCTCCGTGTTTCTCTCCTTCAAAGCATTTCCTTCTCCTTTGCTTTGTGTTCTTTGATTCTCCCTCAGTCTGTGGTTGACTTTTATTTCCTCCTGTTCCCCCCCTTCCTACCCTCTCCTTCTTTCTGTGTCTCTTGCAGTGGCACTCCGAGCACAGGTGGGTCGGACAGCAAACAAAATGCTCTGTCCTCTCTGTCTGCCCGTCTGTTCGATCCCCTTCACTGGTCTGTGTTCTAGGAAGGCGTTGAGAGAGTGATATAATCAGAGGAATGAATACACCTGCTCTCACCTGTTTGTGTCTGTTACTTGATCCCTGCCCTCCCCCACTCTGCCAGGAGGAGGCTATCAGTCTCAGACCCATCTTTCCGACACAACGACTGTTGCTGGTAATACCGATACCCAGTCTGCTTTATCTCTGCCTCTCTGTCTCTGTCATTGTCTGTCTCATTTCATCCTGGAGAAATATGGCTGTACAGAGTGAAAAAAGTCCACTGGATATTAAACTCTGATGGTCTAAAATAGATATTCATTAAATAATCTTAGGGGTTGTTTTTCTTGTTTTTTTGATCCAGTTAAAAATATATCCCAACTTTTTGGTAATGTTTTATAATTTGCTGATATGCTTAATTGTATATGAAACAGTATGTGATTTCCTGTGAAGGGATTTTTGATTTTGTACAAAATAAGCATGTACCAATTACATGAAATTTTCAGCAGTTATTCATAAACTATTTGCTGGATTAATTGAACTGTTCATAGTCACTGATGCATTGAAACCACCTTCTTTTACTTCCAGTAAACATACTTTTTTATTAATTATATCCTGTATTTCCTTTGGAAAGGTTTCCCATTGTCAAACTTTTATGGTTACTTTTCAGAACAAAATGAAACCTTATATATCACCTTAAAAGTCTTGTAATGTCTGCCTGTTTTATTACAGAATTTCAACAGCTGCTGTTGTAGTATCACAAAGTCATCTGTCTCTGTGCTATTTCTTTCGAACTTTCTTTGTATAAAAATGTGGATTTGATGAAATCCAGTGTCAGAAGGTTTATGTAGACAACCTGTTGCTTTGAGATGAGATAGTGGAGAACCTGGATGCTTTTGTGTGTACTCCTTATATCCTATTATATTTTATACTCCCTTGCCCTCTCTTTCATCGCCTTTCTCTTTTATTAAGTAACTTCTCCACACTTCAAGGTATCGTCTCTTAGGTCATTAAGCACAGTTTGTTCTTCCCTTAATCCAGTCTTCAAACTGTTAAGGTTTATCTAGGATTCTGTTGTTCCCACACTGAGGTACTACTTCGTCTCCCTAGGCCCCCTTTCTCTCTGCTGAATAGCAAACATCTACATTTGTAAAACATTCACTGAGGAGTTCAGTGCCTCCTCTCCCTCCTTTCTTCTATCCTCTCTCAGACTTTTCTTATTTCTGTTTCTCTTTTCCTCATCAGAGTTACATGGTGCATCTTGATACTTTTTCTGGAACTTGACCATGGTGAAATTATCATAACGTTTTTGCTAAGGCTTTCTTGCATGTGCCTTTACCATCTTGCACTGTACCGGATCACACGTAAACAAATATGAGTGATATCAAGGTGTAATACAGTAGATATCTGTTAGAAACATCTATTATGGCATATCACAGCATTCCATCAGCCCACTGTAGTAAAACATAGAAATAATAGCAAAAGAACAGTAAAATAACTGCAATTGCACAAAAAAACGAATTCATAATAATCCAGTTATTTTCAGCATCATTGAGCAAAATGTCTAAATGCCAAATGTCATGAATTTTGTCTACCATGTTAGTAGAACTTGTGAACCGATTTCAATTTTGTGGCTAAAATCAGCTTTGGAATGAAAGATTACAGACACAATTTCATTTTTTCACCCTTGTTCAGCCAGAGAGAGCTGTTGTAGCCTACTTTTGCATTATGCTTTTACAGAAAACAATATGCCAACACATTTAAATAAGCTTTCTAAATGAAAACTACGTCTTCTGATAAACCACAGACTGGTACTGACCCAGTGATATATCCCGGGCTTCACTTTCTCACATGAACAAGCCTAAACCATGTCCCTGCCCAGTACCAAAGAAGTGTACTCTGTCCCTTTCAATTTCAAATGAAAGAATCGTCAGACTGTGATTCTTTTGAAGGCAAGGGGGTGTAAGCAGTCAGAGAATTGCTTATCTGTGCTTATCGTGGTATAGCTGGAGTCACATCACTACTCCTCAGCTTTGGACTTCATAGAAAACTTCGCAATCCAATTACAGATACAGAGTAGATCTCAATGTTAACACACACAAAAATGTTAACATACATGGCTATGTTCTCCACAATTGTAAATTTTGCAGAATGAAACACTCCAGACTTTGTTACTGTTACTTTGTTACCTTCTGCTCCCATCTCTTTGCCTTTCTCTTCCCTCCTTTCACTCCTTCTTGCCCTTCTTCTCTGTCAAAAATCAGCTCTTTATTTCCAGTAGTTGTGCTGAGATGTCAGTATAGATACCTGTTAAAAACCAAGCAGTAGTGAAATTAGTAAATATAACTGAATATTGTGTTTTTTTCTGTAGCCCTGGTATTTTTTGAATGATGGGGGGAGAACTGTACAACATTTCTTGTTGTCTTTTAATCTTTACATCAAATTGTCTTCTTTAAAGAATGCCAAGCTCATACGTTTCTACTTGTGTTTGTGGTTTCTTGGATCGTTGTTACTTTTTATGAATTTCCTTGAATTTAATTGATTTTGTCATTATCTTTTGGGATTAAGCCTGCAGGCAATTTGAGACTTCAGCACCAGTCGCATAAATATCCCACTTCAGCATGACCACATCCTTTAGGCCATGCATGATGCACACAGCTATAAGAGATAAGAGAGAGATAAGATAAGCTATAGATCAGGCTCAATTCCTCCCATTGTCAGCTTGCTGTTTTGTCACTATTGTTACTTCTATGCAAAGAAAATATACTTTGTTTGCACATAAGGAGAGGCCAAATAACAAACAGTTAGCACATCTTTAGAAGTCAGGAAGAAATATGAGCATTCAGAAAAACCGACACAAAGATAGAAAGAGCAAGTAAACTCTTCAGTGAAGGAATTCCTGTCCAGAAACGAATACATTGAGTTATACATTCTTTACAGTTAAAAAATAAATCAAAGCAATGAGCCTTATGTGGTCTACTTTTAATCATCCAGCTGGATGCTGCACATTGGTGGTGATGGAGGGGAGTCCCCATTACCTGTAAAGCGCTTTGAGTGGAGTGTCCAGAAAAGCGCTATATAAGTGTAAGCAATTATTATTAATTATTATTATTAATGTTTCCAGTGCTCCCATTTTAATAATAACAATACTGTAATTGTACCTGTAATGAGTTACATGGTTCCAAAACTATTAATATCTGTAAACAATTTATTTTGCTTAAGCAATTTGTAACTGATCATTTTTTTCCAAGTAACGTCCCCCTGAATTGAAGATAAAAAGGGGCTGGCACAGCCCAAGGCTCCAGTCAGAAGCAAATGCAGCGTCTGACCCTGGCAGCATGCTAGATGAGCTTTGCTAGCATTCTGTGCAACTCTGCATGATTCTCGCTGTTCAGGGAAGACCCTGCTCAGTAACTGATCTCTGACAACGACTCCTGTGGTACTTATTTTAAAGCACTGCTATAGAATTCTCTTTCACAGAAATATGTTTTATGCCTCTTCCCATTTTATGTGTGTGCCTCCGTGCCTAATATATTGTGAAACATTAAATATCTGGAATGTTTCTGGACAAAAAAATATATAATTTGCAAGTCAGATTTGTGTATCCAAGTCTCTTGCCTTGGGGACCATTTTCATGGTGGCAGGCTTGTGGAAGATAGCTAACATAGTGGGGGGAAGGGATGACAGATTAACTTCACTCATGCAGTCAGTTCCAGTCAAATTGCACAAACACTGGCCCTGCAAATATCTTCTATCAATAACAGCTCTGAGTGGGTAGAGAGGTATTTATATCTGGATCTAGGAAAGTGAACATACATGTCGGTGTATTACTTTTTTGACTCTGTATACCTTACCATATAGAGTCAAAACCATAGTGTGTACTAATTATAGCTTGATAAAGAGATCTGGAAAGAAAAGACTGCACATATCTATTAACAATGCTGTAACTAATAGGATGATTAAAAATACTGAACAATTAGAGTGCAGTGGTTTCAGTGTATTAGGGAGGGAGTTGTGGTTGGGGTGGCTATTTCTATTACATCATCTTCCACAAAGGAAAATCCATTAGCTAGAATGGTTTGTTTTATGCCTGGCCTCTTGTATTTCAGAAGTTGTGCCATAGGTACTGGCAACCAAGAAAATACTATGATATTTTAGCATCTGGCATTGGGAGTCCCAAAGAACCTGTGTTTTGTTGTCACTGCTGAGGTTGCAATTTTAGCTGAGATTGCTTTGGTTTGCTACGTTACAGAACCCCTCTGGCATGCTGGGTGCCTTTGAGTACCCATCACTAGC